ATGTCCTACCTGTCAATGACTACTTCAGCTTCAATCACAACAATACACAAGTACAACATAGATACAAACTTAAGGTAAACCGCTCCAAACTCGACTGCAGAAAATACAACTTCAGCAACAAAGAGTTGTCAATGCCTGGAATGTACTATCTCACTCTGTGGTTTCTTCCTCAACCCCCCAAACTTTAACCTTAGACTGTCTACTATTGACCTCACTCCATTCCTAAGAGATCTGTAAGGGGCATGCATAAGCGCACCAATGTGCCTACTCTCCCTGCCCTAATGTTTGCACCTTTTATTTGTACCTATTTCATGTAATCATAATCATGTTCTAATTATATTTGTTATCTAATACATGCTTGACAAAATGTATAAATAAATAAAAAATAAATAAAGGAATAACTCTCAGGAGTTTTTTGGCCCTTGCATTCCTCAATGTACAATTTCCCTCTCCTTTATGTCAGGGTTCCAAGTAACACACCCAACGGAATCAAAAATCCAAGGCAAGCATAGTCCTTAAAGTATAGATTTATTAGGCATGTCATATTGGCACATCTGGGGAAACCCGACTCTAAGCCCCCCTTGGGTTTCTCCCTAGTTAAAAGTAAAGTTTTCTTTCCCCCTGCCCATGTAGTCTGTCACATGGTCCAATCAGGTCACAGTCCAAAGGTCATTTGATCTCAGGTCCCACCTCCTTGCACCTGGTGGGAAAGTTCTAGGTTCTCAGAAGAAAGAATTTTATTATGGCTACAATCCCCCAGCTATCTCTTCCTCCCGCTCCCCATTCCCACAGCTCAACTCAGCTCCACTGTGGCAGCCCTGAAGGTGCCAGAAGAAAATGGCTCCAGGGCTGACACTTCAACTTTATTTTAACCTTTAGAAATTTATAAAGTTGAGATGAATGGATATCTGTTACAGGTCTTCTAGATTCAATTATTTATTGAAAAATTTCTGTCACAGGAAATAGAAAAGGAATGCAGTGCTTGTGACCTATCACGTAGCCTGTCAGCCATGTATGATGGTCAATACATGGAAGAAATGAGTCTCCTTGTATTACTGCCTTATGGAACAACAAAAGCTAACCTAGGAAGAAAAATATTGGGCAAGCCACAATATATGGTTGATGAGCTGCATTTAGCTTGATGGGACAGAGACCATTTCTGCTCGTTCATGAGATGCCCAGGAACATAGTAGTCCAGGTTCTGATTCTGAAAAGCTGCCTTAAGTTGGTTGTGTGCATTGTAATAATTGCCTAATGCTTTGGATATTATCAAAATTGAGACATCCTAAGTACAGTGTTGGGAGAGTTGTCTTTATTCCTCCCCCTCCCCCCAGTTTATTTATATATGTGTGTGTGTGTGTGTGTGTGTGTGTGTATATGTATGTATGTATGTATGTATGTATGTATGTATGTATGTATGTGTATGGTATTCAGCTTTGTTCGGGTATTTTCCCACGTCGTTATAGTTGTGCTTTTAAAGTTGTAGCGACATTTCGGCAGAATCTCATCTGCCATCATCAGGCTTCTGTATTGTGTTCATCTGTGAGTCAGACTTTCACAGCCATTTCAGTTTTAAATTTGGTGCTAGCCTACTGCTGTGCCAGAATGGTTTTTTCTTCATCCTGATTGGTTGGGAGTCTTGGTCTGTGTTTATTGGTCTTGGAGTTTGCTCTGTTCTGCTTGATTGGTGTTTCTAATATCTTCTGTCTGTTTTGTGGCATTTTTTGTCTTGATTGGCTGGCAACATTGTGTTCCTGTATTGGAGGCTTTTAGTGCAGCTTGGCTCTGAGTAAATGGATGGCTATCATTTATTAAGAAGCTAAGTTTCATCTGGGTGCCTGGTTGGGGTGTGTTTGAGCTGGAGGTATCAGGGGGGATCTGTTTGTGCCCAGGTGTTTGCCTGGCTTGTGGTGTGGAGATTTTTTTGTTTGAGAGTGCAGGCTTCCAAATAATTGACAGTCTGGTGGAGTCATCTCTTCTATTCATGCTTTCGGGTCTTTTTTCAATCTCTATGGCTTCTCTGATAATTCTTTGGCTGGGGTTTTCTATAGTGGCTAGGGTTTTGGTGCCATTGAAGTCGATGCTATGACCTGTTGCTTTCATGTATTGAACTCGTGAGGAAGTGTGTGCCAGCTTTTTTACTGCATTTTTGTGTTCATCCAGGCGGGTGCTTATTCTTATATTGGTCTGTCCAATGTATGTGGCAGGGTATGATGCACAGGGGACTTCATATTTGCCTTGGTTTTCCAGGTCAATTTTATCTTTGGGGTTTCTTAGGATGGCTGCTATTTTTCTGTCTGTTTTGAAGGCAGTCTTGATGTGATGCCTGTGTAGTATCTTACTGATTTTGTCTGTAGTACCTCTTATGTAGGGCAGGACAGCTGTTCCATAGGTCTGTTCATCTTCTAGGTCTCCATTATGTCTCAGTGTGTTTTTGTGGATCAGGCCAGTGATTTTGCTTTTGTGGAAGCCGTTGGCTGTCGGTACTTTAGTCAGGGTGCATAGTTCAGTCTTTATGTGTGTCTTGTCTGCCAGGCGTTTGGTTCTAGCAATTAGTGTTTTGACCACAGAGTTTATCTGTTCTGGGTGGTGGGATTGGGCATTGAGGTAGCGGTTGGTGTGTGTTTTCTTCTGGTATATGGTGTGTCCTAGTATGCCATCTGTTTTTTTGTAGATTAGTACAACTAGGAATGGTAGTTGTTTGTTTGTTTCCGTTTCCATGGTGAATTAGATTTTGGGGTGTGTGCTGTTTAGGTGTGTTAGGAAATTGTTTAGGTTTTCTTTTCCATGGGGCCAAATAACAAATGTGTCATCGATGTATCTTAACCACTGAACTGAAGAAGCCAAACCTTTAGGGCAACCATGACCTGGATGATTGAGAATCTTCATAGACATTGAGTAAAAGGCATGCTTAGGTTTTCCATGTAGCCCTGCTTAGGACTGTTTATTAGTAAATTGTATTCAGTGAGCCTTGCACCCTGGAAATGTGGCAAGAAGGCTTGCAGCCTTTTGAAGAAATATCCAGTATTTCATTTGGCAAGTTAAAAATAATACAATTGCCCTAAGATTTACTATTAGAATGCCATGTATTTTTTTTAACAAATCACTCATCATTTATTTTTAAGATATAGTCAAATATATAATTTGAAACTATTCAATTTGTGCTCTTTTTTTCCATTACACCCTGAAAGAACAATGTGAAAGAAAAACCACCCAGTTATCCTGCAGCAATCCCCAGTAAACAATGGGATATATCTGAATAAAACATGAAGTTTCACTTTAACTTTAAAGTAGCCCCTAGAGCTTCTTTACAAATTATTGAATGGTTCTGTTGAATTGGTTAAATTTGCTATTTCTAAACCCCCTTGTGCCTAAGTAAAAGTTTCAGTCTTAGTCATATGACTTTGTAATCATCTCAGTAGTTCCACATTCACTGAAGCCACCTTGCTGAGAGGCAGACATCCATTTCAGATCCACAAAGCCAATTCATGCTGTTTTGAGATTCATGTGAAATTCCATGGGAAATATTGTTGAATCTGTGACAATTGTCACATCGTTGTTAAGCTACGTGAACCATTATCTTTACTGAGATTGATGGAGCATGTGCTCTTAATAATAGACGTGCCCTGAAACAAAGAACAGGAATCTTACTTCACTGCTCTACAAATACAAAGAAAACATGCCCTCATAGCATCTACCAGAGGGGTGTGTATGGATGGATGTGTGTGCATTTGTGCATATTGGAAAAATCAAGATGGTAATCAAGACCATGTGACAATGGTTTCAGCCACCATCTTGGTATTTTTTTTAGTCTCCCTGTGGATGTTCTGGCAGTGAAGAAATTGATCTTCACTGTTATCAAGTGAACTTAAAAAAAACTTGCTGCAAATAAAAGAAAGTGGGCAAGGGATGGTGGATGTTCTCTATAGATGAAAAAAGATTTATTTTTAAATCAAATTGGAAATGCAATGTGCAATGAAATTAATACAAGCTTGAGGCCACCAGATTTAATGCAAAAACCATTGCTTGCAGTAGTGAGTTAATAGCTTGTGTTTCCTTTTCATTAAAATGAAGGATGGTACGTAATTAGCAACAATTGTTTATAGATCGGGTCCAAAGATATAAACCAGATGTTACATTGAAATGTTGCAGTATCTGTGACCAAAGAGTGGGATACAAAAGTTACTTTGAATTAATAAAGGGAACATATCATAAACTCAGCAAGCTTAAAACAAACTGGCAACAAGACATTGAAATGTGCTTATCTCTATAAAGCTTCAATGTGAACAAATTGTGAACAGAATTATGGCTTAGCATGCCATTGGAATATGGCCCATTCTGAAACAGCTGATAGGCTTATCTCTTTGGGATGGCAAATGAGTTTCACGTTACATAGAAGCCAATTCACTTTGGGCCAGATGCATCATGTGCTGGCCACGCCCATGCCCGGTTCAGCGAAGGGGAAAAAAAGTCCCGATATGTCACGTGATGCCGCCATGATGATGCAAGTTTGACCCTATGGTCTATATGGTCATACCTGTCTGAGAAGTGTACCAGAGAACATATGTATTTGGAGGTACATAGTTCTGAATTTTATTTTTTTCTTAGATCTATGTTTGAAGTAGCTTTAAAAAAAAAAAGAAGAAGAAGTGAAGCCATCTGAAAATGACATTCAAATGGGGTGTGGGAGAAAGCAATTCAGAAATTAGATTGGTCAAAGGAGAAAAAAAGAGCATTTGGAGAAGATGAAGGCAAGGCTAGAAAGAAACTGGCCACTGGTCCTGCTGTCCTCCAAAAATAAGACTCTTCCTATAAGTAGCAAATTATGAAAATTGGGTCCAACATCTTTCTAGTTGTCAAAGTTGTTCTTTTCTGGTAGTTGGCTTTTCTGTTATGAAGAACTATTGCTTCAGGAGCAGAGTACCTTCGTCACTCTTTCTGACAAGCTGAGATGCCCACCAAAAGTTTAACATGGATTATATATATTTTTCTTTTCCTAGGTTCCATCCAGCAGCTGGCCTGATGGAGAGGATTCAAGCAATAGCTCAGAATGTCTCAGACATCGCAATGAAGGTGGATCAGATTCTTCGCAACAGTCTCCTAAATGGAAAATGTAAGAACACCTTCAGGTGTGAAAATGACAGTCTGGAGCCAGTATCTTTGTTTCTATGTAGTACACTGAAGGAACTGAATCTGAGTCTCTCATGCTATATAGTGCTTCTGTGTAGATCCAAGTTTACCTGTTATTTCCCCTCCCTCCAAACTCAGGTTAAGCATTACGGTGCAGTAGTCTGACATGGAGGAAATCTGCCATGTCTTCTACTACTACTGCAACCTAAGAGACCTGATTTAAAATAGTGGATTAGATATATAGACAATTCTCTATGTGGAAAAACTCTCTAGTCAATGGTGGAAAGGAAAATGATGGCTTGAGAATGACTATCAGCAGCAAACAGTTTTTCCTACTGTGATGACATGTTTCTATTTAATTAGGTTATTTACAGGTGAAACTTGAAAAATTAGAATATCATGCAAAAGTTCATTTATTTCAGTAATGCAACTTAAAAGGTGAAACTAATATATGACATAGACTCATTACATGCAAAGCAAGATAGTTCAAGCTGTGATTTGTCATAGTTGAGATGATTATGGCTTACAGCTCATGAAAACCCCAAATCCACAATCTCAGAAAATTAGAATATTGTGAAAAGGTTCAATATTCTAGGCTCAAAGTGTCCCATTCTAACCAGCTAATGAAGCCATAACACCTGCAAAGAGTTCCTGAGCCTTTAAATGGTCTCCCAGTCTGGTTCAATAGGAATCACAATCATGGGAAAGACTGCTGACCTGACAGTTGTGCAGAAAACCATCACTGAAACCCTCCATAAGGAGGGAAAGCCTCAAAAGGTAATTGCAAAAGAAGTTGGATGTTCCGAAAGTGCTGTATCAAAGCAGATTAATAGAAAGTTATGTGGAAGGGAAAAGTGTGGAAGAAAAAGGTGCACAAGCAGCAGGGAAGACCGCAGCCTGGAGAGGATTGTCAGGAAAAGGCCATTCAGAAGTGTTGGGGACTTTCACAAGGAGTGGACTGAGGCTGGAGTCAGTGCATCAAGAGCCACCACACACAGATGGATCCTGGACACGGGCTTCAAATGTCACATTCCTCTTGTCAAGCCGCTCCTGAACAACAAACAATGTCAGAAGCGTCTTACCTGGGCTAACGAAAAACAGAACTGGTCTGTTGCTCAGTGGTCCAAAGTCCTCTTTTCTGATGAGAGCAACTTTTGCATCTCATTTGAAAACCAAGGACCCAGAGTCTGGAGGAAGAATGGAGAGGCACACACTGCAAGAAGCTTGAAGTCCAGTATGAAGTTTCCACAATCTGTGTTGATTTGGGGAGCCATGTCATCTGTTGGTGTTGGTCCAATGTGCTTCATTAAGTCCAGGGTCAACACAGCCATCTACCAGGAGATTTTGGAGCACTTCATGCTTCCTTCCACAGACAAGCTTTATGGGGATGCTGACTTCATTTTCGAGCAAGACTTGGCACCTCCCCACACTGCCAAAAGCACCAAAACCTGGTTCAATGACCATGGGATTGCTGTGCATGATTGGCCAGCAAACTCGCCTGACCTGAACCCCATAGAGAATCTATAGGAATTGCCAAGAGAAAGATGAGAGACATGAGACCGAACAATGCAGAGGAGCTGAAGGCCACTATTGAAGCATCCTGGTCTTCCATAACACTTCAGCAGTGCCACAGGCTGATAGCTTCCATGCCACGCCGCACTGAGGCAGTAAACTTTTGCACAATATTCTAATTTTTCAAGTTTCACCTGTATGCCTACATCTTTAGATAGTAATTAGCATGTACAAATATGCAGATCTGTACCTTTTTATAACCTCTTAGATAAACTGCATATAAAGTTAAATCACACCAAACCAAATCTACTTTCTACTCAACCAGTTAAGCCATCAATGAAACTTTCTCCACACAGTGAGAAGAAAGCAATTTGGCCTTTTGTGGAAGGAAATGCTTAATCCTCCAAGTGGTTGATATAACGTGGTTGATATCAACTAAGTGGTTGATATAACGTCCTAACGTCCTATATCCATACAGAGTTCCAAAGGGGCTTTTTCAAAAGGCAACTGGATTTTGTTTTTCCTTGAAGATTTTTTGCTTCTCATGCAAGAAGCTTTTTCAGTTCAATTCAGAACTAAAAAAGTTTTTGGGATGGGAAGCAAAATGTCTTGAAGGAAAAACAGTGCAGGTGCCTTTTGAAAACGCATCTTTGGGACAACCATGACCTGGATGACTGAGCATCTCCATAGATATCTGTTATGTCTCCCCTTTAATTGCAGGCGAGCAAAACAAAAAGCAGCCGTTTCAGAATTAATTCAAATCAAAAACAAACCCCCACAAGAGAACGGCTGGAGTAAATTCCAATACACAGCAATAAATCCACACTCTGTCCGGCAATCCTGGTGTGGCAGTAAATCACAAGCCTCAGAGAGTTTGCTGCATGTCTTCACTCCTAATTAGTCACTTTGCTTCTGGCGAATTCCACCAGCCCAGCTGTGTCCTTTTATTCACTTATGAAGCGTGCTAATTTCCCTAATTAATGACTAGCTCGACGCTTCCTTTCTAACTGAGTTTGTCTTCTCAGCCTCCTTCTGTTTCTGATGTCTAGCCATAAGTTCTCCAAATTTTCATCTCCGCTGGAAAACTCTCTCATGCCTTCCCTGTCAGCCATTCCCGGCTGCTGATCAGATAAAGAACCAGAGGAGGTCGAAGGTCCTGACAACTCTATTAATTCAGGTCTATCTTCCCTTGTTACATCCATCTCCTCATCCTGGTTACTATCCAAATCGCTAAGCAATGCCGGCTCATATTTTGCTGCCATGTCCTCATCACTTGAAGTCATATCTGCCACAGGAGCAGAATCCAAACCCGGAGCCACAACAGATATCCATGCAGAGATTATCAGCTGATTATCTGTTTTGCTCATTCTATTCCCTAATGTAGTTCATGTCTTTCTGATACGATTTATAAGCTATTTGTGCTTTATATTTCACATTAGGCTTAAGATCATGGCCATCACATGACTATCTGTGTAACGAAGAGTCAACATCTTTCATGTTTGGATTCTGTACAGATCAGAAGCACTAATCCATCTTAAATCAGGCAATCTAGACTAGGAATGAATGGAGACATAGTTACAACAAGCTTGTTATAGGTTTAATTCTAGACTTGAAAAATGGAACGTGCAAAATTAAGTGAAAAGAACATTCATAATCAAATCTTTGTTCCACGTGGTTTCAAACTGTGGAAATTACACCATGGACGTTTGCACATTCAGTTCTGTTTGGCAGCTTTTGTACCAATGTGGGAAAAGAGAGAAGATCCTTTTAATATTAGTCTCATTTAACTCAGAAGGGGATGGAAGAGTTGGTATCTGCAAAGCCATTGATAAGTGGAATGTCAAACATTATGAACTGTAATTCTCACTGTTAGAACTGCCAAACCATCTCCTAAGTCAGCAACAGCAACACGGTGGAAGAGAGGGTAAGGAGGGAAGGAGCCCGTCCCCTTGGCAACAGATGCATATCCTGAGGACACCTTTGTCCTACTTCTTTCTTCAGCATTCCTCACTGTGTGTATAACCTCCTTTTAGTGGATGGATGTGCTAAAAGCCATAATCCTGGGGAAATCATGCTGCAGTGATTTCAGTTTGTTTCCTACTGAGCCACTAAAGGAAATGATTCCCAATCGGACCATTAAAATATGTGCTTTAAATCCCATGCGGATTTGTCAACTTTGCTCTCTGTTGTTCTTCATAACTCATGCTCTCCTGTTCTCCATAACTCATGCCTATGATAACCTCTTTTTCTAGGCTGACTTTCATCCTGAGCTAATCAATAGCTCAGGGATGCTACAGTAGTTGCTCTGCCTTTCTTATTTTGCCATGGGAGTCAAACTTAGGCAAACCAAAAGAACACATATAGATTGGGTGAAACCAGGCTTAATAGCAGTAACTGTGAGAGGGATCTTGGAGTCTTAGTGGATAAGCAGGTAAATATGAGCCAGCAGTGTGCAGCGGCAGCCAAAAAAGCCAATGCAATCCTTTGTTGCATTAACAGAGGGATACAATCAAGATCAAGTGAGGTACTGATACCATTCTATAAAGCTTTATTTAAGACCACACCTAGAGTATTGCATCCAGTTTTGGTCACCACACTATAAAAATATGTTGAAACTCTAGAAAAAGTGCTGAGAAGAGCAACCAGGATGATAGGGGACTGGAGACTAAAACATATGAAAAAATGGTTACAGGAAATGGGCTTGGCTAGCTTAGTGAAGAGACGGACCAGGGGAGGCATGATAGCAGTCTTCCAATATTTGAGGGGCTATCACAGAGAGGAAGGGGTCAATCTATTTTCTAAAGCACCTAAAGGACAGACAAGGAATAATGGATGAAAACTGAACAAGGAGAGATTTAACCTGGAAATAAGGAGAAATTTGCTGACAGTGAGAACAATCAACCAATGGAACAGCTCGCCCTCGGAAGTTGTGGGAGTGTCATCATTTGAAACTTTCAAGAAGAGATTGGACTGCCATTTGTCAGAAATGGTGTAGGGTCTCCTGCTTGGGTGGGGGTTTGGACTAGATGACCTACAAGGTCTCTTCCAACTCTGTTAATCTAATTTAATCTAAACGGGGCAATTATCGGAGAAATCCTGCCAGGTTTATGTATTAAGCTGTGAGTTGTCAAGCTTGGGACTTGTAGCATTTGGGTCTTCTACCTCAAAAAAGTGGCCACAAACTAGTGTTTAATCCAGTATCCAGGGAAGCCTTTCTGTCATGTGCTTATTTATTGTTTGCTGTTTATTTATTACTCAAGCTTCTGTACTGCAACAATCCAAAGATCCTGAGTGGCTTACAGGTTCCTGTTACAATAAATAAGAGTAAAAGCAATATATAAAAACTGCAAGAATAGTGAACACTAATTATAATCCTGCCTATCAACAGCCTCAGGGGTAGCATCATCCTTTGATTCCATCCCCAAAAGCCCTTTGAAAGAAAAAGGCCTTAACTATGAGATAGAAATTTAACAGGGAAGGAGCCAGCAATCTGTCTGGGGATTACTGTGTGGCCTTTAATATCTTCCTGATAAAAAGAATATTTATTTAATATCTTCCTGATAAAAAGATTTTCTTTTCACATAGTCTTTTCAACATCCTGCACATGCAGTGAATAGCATCTTGGCAGCTTCTAGAATAATCCAGCCTTCAGGAGAGGCCTTGAGTGGGGAAAGTGTGCTTTTCTACACATTTTAGTTTTCAATGATGCCTCAACAACTTCATCAACTATGTCTGAGCTCCCATATCACATTAATGTGTTTTTTGTATGTGTGTGTGAGAGAGTGAGAAGTATTAAGTTTGAACTCATCAATTGAGCTTTATTCAATACACTATGGTAAAAAATCATGACTTAGTATTATGTACAATATAAATCCAGCCAGTATCTCTCTTTACCCCACAACGAAAGTTTTGCAGGTTTTCATTGACAGTGCATTAATATTCACAGATTTAATCACTGATAAGGGGGCTGAGCAGGGATGCATTACAAAGCTTGGTTAGGTATCAGGTATAAGAAGCCCCTCAAATCTTGTGCCCACTTGGATTTCTGGTGTGCCATCACCCATGATCCTGGGGAAGTGGGAGGGGTGTTGCCGTTGCCAATGCAAGATGTTCTAGGGCTTCCAGAAGTGCTACTCCAGACATTGCTGGGTGTGGGAACTTCTTTGTAAAGTTGAGCCTTGGATGATCTCTTAGAATAGATGAAGCCGCTGCAAGGGTACCAGTATTCCTAAGGCTTCTTCTCTACCTTAGCCACTTGATTCTGTGGCAAAAATTGGTGGTAGAGTTCCCTAGACTTACAACTCTTGGGGACTTTAATTTACCTTCTTTAGACAAGAATATGAGCTGTCTCAGGAGTTAATAGCAATTATGGATCGGATTCAGATTGCTGATGGCTCATTTCCTAGTGGGAAGTTACATAGTCTTTTTCTTGTACGTATAGTATGTAGTATAATTTGAAGATGTAGTCATCAGTCTCTTGTCATTTAGAGATTACTTCCAATTATTCTTGAACTTCTGCTGCATGGAGAAAAGACCAATATGTCTGCCTGAAGCACCAGGAGGACCTGTTGAGGTTCCAGAGGGAACTTGAAGTTCTGGTGCATGGTTCAACCAAAGTCTTAGTTGCTGCATAAAATGAGTATGTGATGGGAGCCAGATTTTTGTACCTGGTGTCTTTTGTTGTGTTCAATCCCCCCACCCCGATTCAAATCTTTTACCTTTTTTTGTTTAAAACATCACCTGAACATCACCATGTCTTCCCTTTGACCTTTTGCCTCTTCAGACAGGCATAGAGAATCTTAAGGAAATAAATTCCAATCCAACAGGTCCATTGACTCCTAAGGTGTTGCTTAAATCAGGGTTTTACTCACACCTTGAACACTGTTCTTCCTCTTTTTCTGTTTTTTCAAAGAGCTTTCTTTATCATATATAGACTTGGAAATGATGCCTTTGCCTTCCTGAATCAAAGACTTAATCTTTGAAATTGCCAAAGGATTTCATTATGATGATTAATGTGGCAGATGCAAGAGCACTTTATGACTGCCTGTCTAACCAAGCTACTGTGTGGTAACCCTCAAATATTAAATATTGACAATTTCCCTCTCAATGTTCTTTGCCCATCCAGTGGCTCCAAATAGCTGTGCCTGCCATCTCTCCCCTGGCAAGAGAGAATGCAAAAAAGCCAATAAACTATAGCCGGTGGCTGTTTTAATATCAGTTTTTAACATCCATCTTTAATCTGCAGATAGGGTTCTTAATAAATCTGAGTAGCAATGACCTTATTTAACATTAGAGACATGAATAATTGCATAGGTTTCAGAAAACTAGTCATGAAAACAAATGGAGCACATTATAAATAGTTGATAAAGGCCTTGCTGGCTTTCTTTTGTATGAATAATGGAACATGCCAAAGTGGAGCTTGCTGGGTGAGTGCAAAGCATGTGCTATGTGGGGACAGGCAGGTGTACTCGAGCATATCTAGTAGCACAACTAACATCATGGATCCACTTCAGTGGGGCACTGTGGAAGCCCATATCCTAGCTGGGACTGATGTTGTTCCCTGGAGTCTCCTGACTCTACTACTCACTGTTCCCCTCTTTGCTTGCCTTCCTCAAAGAGTTGTTAGCCTAGTGCAAAATTATTAAGTTTGGGAAGATTCCTTCTGTGTTTCACTACCAAAGTGGAATTGGTTATGTTGGACCAAGAAACCGGCTGCTCTGGAGCCTGCTGTGGTCTTTGGTAAAATAACTGCAATCATGGCATGATTGTAGTTAAAGCTGAAAGACCGACTAAGACAAGCATGAACAAGGCCTCCAATTCAGTTATGAATAGCACATTGGAGCATATTTCAAGGAAATGTAATGTGTTTACATTTTATCTAGTCTAGAAGATTTCTGCACCTGTGATTATTTGCCTCATTGATGGCCTCTAAGTTAATTAGTTACTAGCATACATATCTGCTGTTATTTGCACATGTCTTTATGTTGGAGGTTTTTGTTTTTTTTAATGATGCAGTTATAAATGTAGGGTCCAGTAGACAAAATCTCAAAGAATGACAAATTGCTGCAGTGTTGCTAAAGAAGCCAAATAAAAAGAAGTCATGAGACTTGCTACACCTCCATTTAGGCTTCAATGCAGTTAAAAATAATAGTGCAGTTTTTTTTTGTTTTTTGTTTAAATGTTCTTTCTGTTGCCCTGTTAAGCTTAATACAAGTTATGGACAATGAAGGGAAGCAGATTTTTAAACATTCAGGGGATTGCACCATTCAAGGTGGAACACATCATGTGAGTCACTGTCACACTGATTTTTGTATTGCGAATTAAGATCTTCCCATTGAGCATAAAGTTACCTGGATGGGGATAATGTTACACATGTGGTCTCTCTATCCAAACCTAGTTATGAGATCTGAACCAAAACCTATTAAAACAAAAAAGGTTTAACAACTTCAGTATTCCTTAGCCCTAAAATCTGTCTTAAAGGGATGGGACAGATGCTACACAATTTCTGAACTTGTGAAAACCAGAAGATTGGGCCTGGGAGATGATAGAT